CTGTTGGCTGTGAAGTGGCACCTTTCCAAAAAAGAAAGTGAAGAGGTGATATTACAGCTGATCCTATGAGGCTGAATATCAGGACATCATTATGCACCTGTGCTCGGTATACACAAGATACAATTTCCCTTTTGGCCCTTAAACCTGTGTATCGTTCACCGTTCACTTCCTTACCTGCCCAGAAATTGAGGAGGGTAAAGAAAAGCAGAGCCCAACCCATGGTGAGGAACCACAAGGCTTCTGGACTTCTGAGGCAACGACCACCTGCCGGGCACTTTCTTCGCTTCCTTTATTAAACTGCACCCGTTGAGGCGCGGCCCCTTCATGCAAATGTGCCCTGCCATCATTGGCTGCCTGAGATCTTCAGTGGTCTTTCTTAAAGGAAAAATTGACATTCTATGGAAAAAAACAAAAAACAAATGGGACAGCTCGGATTTGTGTACACGAGAGAGAATGCTTGACTATGGAGACATATTCTGTACATACATTTTTTAAAAGATACTGTAATACACTGGTTCTTAACCTTGGGTTACTCAGGAGTTTTGGACTGCAACTCCCAGAAGCCTTCACCACCAACTGTGCTGGCTGGGGTTTCTGGGAGTTGCAGTTCAAAAGCATCCGAGTAACAAAGGTTAAGAACCACTGCTGTAATAGATTGTGTGTGGGCCCACTTCAATGGTGCTGCTTTTGAGATTACAACCCCCTATAATGGCCCCAGGCTATCCGAAGGAACCTCTCTCGAGCCCAGAAACAATAAGCACAGAGGGCCTGACCTTGGTGCTGCGGTGACTTTTACTAATGATCATCCATGGCAGTGGCTCCTTCAGGGCAAGGGAGGGTCCAGGGCATGGTTGTGGACCCTAATGCCCCACTGGAATCATGGAACAGAAATCTTCCCAGGGTTTCCAAAATCCCCTCCATAATGGGGATTTTCCCAGCTAATGTGGCAACAGGTAGAAACAGCAGCCTGTGGAGCTAAAAAGAATGGAAAGGATCTTCATTCATCTGAAACAAGGTGCCGGAGGAAAGGGTAACAGATTTTAGATACCACCCGAAATACAAGCAAGGGAGTTCTAGATCAAGTCAAAGGGGAACTCTCATTTGAAATCAAAATGACTAAATGGTGCCGGCGGTATTTTGGACAAGAGACAATAGGAAAAACAATAGAGGTAGGAAAAGTGGAAGGCAGGAGGAGATGAGGATGATTGGAAAGGAGGTGGATTGATTCAATCAAGGGCTCTTTGGGGCCCTTTAGCAGGGATCTGAATGACAAGACCTTTAGAAGTTCATTATTTCATATGGTCAAGCTGAGCCAGGAGTGGTTTGATGGCACACGACCATGCAGAGCTGTACACGACTGCAAAGATCGTTCCGTTCAAATTCCCTCCCAGGGAAGAAGCCCACAGCTAATGCATCCCTGGCAGATGGCCATCCAACATCTGGTGGAAAGCCTCCACTGAGGGAAAGCCCCTCCCTTCCTCTATAGTTACTCCACTGATAAACAGCTCTTCGCATCAGGAGCTTCTTCCTAATGTCTAGCCGAAATCTCCTTTCTTGACATTGGAATCCTTTTTCCTATGCCCTCTGCAGCCTCTAAAGCCCTAAACAGCCCTTTAGTGACTCCTTTCCAATCATCGTCTTCTCCTCCTGCCTTTCACTTTTTCTACTCTTATTGTTTTGGTAGCCACATTAATGGGCTCCATTTTCTGCCTGAGCGCACTTCACTTCTTTCAAGATGGCTCTTCAAGGTCTCTTCCCCAGGCTAAACATACCCAGCCCCCTCCATTCCTCCTTGCAGGGCCTGTCTACTATAAACCCCTTACCCTGAGCTTGCCAAAGTTGCTTTCTGGCCCTACCTTTTCCCAAATCCCCCAACCAGCCTGAGACTCCTGGTCCCAAAAAAGGGAAAGAAAGACTCTTGGGATTGGTTAAAGAAAACTGAAATATCACTCAGCAGCCTCCTTCGATTCCCTCTGTCAAAACCATGAGTGTCATTTGTTACCAATGACGCTGAGGGTTAGGAAAAGAAGCCCCCAGACCATGCTTGGTGTCAGGACCAAATCTTCCTAAGGAGCAATGGGTCCTTCCGTCAGAGAATTTCTCAGCCACAAATCTACCACCTTTATGCTGGGGCAGGTCCCCAACCTCCAGCAGTGCGTAGCCTTTGCACCTAGAATGCAAGAACACTTTACTTTTACTCAGTGCTTTGCAAGTACAGACACTTGAGCTTTGCGATTCATAAGAATTCACAACAACTCAGTTAATTAGGACTACTCTGGTAGCTAGTCAATGGCCGTCACCACTCTGGATTTAGCCAAACCCTGCTGATCCAAGAGACAATCCTTGTTGAAGATTTTTATAATCAATTCTTATTAAGAAAATAAAGTTTCATTGAAACAGTTTGTTTTTGGCCAAGCATAGCATAAAGAACATGTTCAAAAGATTACCACAGTTAAATACAACAATTAATTCCTGTTAAAAATAACGAACACTAACCTGGGCTAAGATGGGCTAGCCCCACCACCTTCTTTCTCTTACTTACATTCTCTTTCCTTCAATCTACATACTTAAACCATCAAGTTCTCTCTCCATCATCATGAACTAGAACCTCTCCCACATAACCCATCGTCCATTTCCTACATTCCATGGACCTCCTTCTTCATGACCATAAACCAATCAACTCAAAGAGTCATAATTGTCCATTTTGACCACAATTCTCATGAAGATACGGGTGGTTTATCTCCATTGTTGTACGCCGCCCAGAAGCCACTGGCAATGGTGCGGCTAAAAAATATTGTAAATAAATAAATAAATAAATAAATTCCAATTAGAAAAGAATATGTCGGGTCTTCGTGCTCTCTGGGCCTCTTTGTCCTTGGCCTCTTATCAGGATTCACGCTGTACCAAGCTGGCTGCAAATTAAGAAAAACAACCTCTCTGCCTTTCTCACATTCCCATGTCTTCCTTTCATTTTTAAGCCCAACAGACTCCATTTTCTTTCTTTCTCATTGACTACAAGTCCCACTCTCCTTTAATCCCTGACTACATGTATCACTCTCCTTCAATATCATGACACTTGGGATCCAAACTCTCTGAAACACACTCTTCTGGATAATTTCGAGAATCCTATGAATGATCAGGAAAGACCTGAAAAAGGCCACACTGACATGGAAGCACTTCCTGCTCCACATCAAGCTACAGGTCCATGTCTCAAGGAGCCATTAAATGATTTCAGTTATTTAAAAATAAGACCAACAGTGACTCCTACAGGCCAAAAGCAGAAGAGCAGCAGCCACACACATTTTATGACAACACAAAGACGGGGACAATAAAAGTTGAGGCCAGAGTTTCACTTGCCTCCATCAATCTTTGGCTCAAACATAATCACACAACATCAGATCTGGCATCCCTGGTCCTACATGACAACTTTCAGTTTTTATTGGACCAAGATGGTACAAGGAAATCTAAGATACCTGGGATTTTCCCCAGAAGCTCTTCTGACTATGGACATAATTCAAGCAAAAACTGCTCTGAGACAAAGAGTACTAGACCTAGAGAGATAGAGTGACACCAAGCAATGCCCCAACTTCTTAGCTGCAGGGGATAAGTAGAATGCAGCCGAACAAGTTACATACCTCTCATTATTAGAAATCCCACAACCTAGGAAGGCCTTCTTCCTAGCCAGATTTGAAAGGCTCCCCTTGGCCACACTTGAAGGCCATTTTAAAAGGACACCTCGTTCAGAACGGGTATGCCCATGTGCCTCGGGGGAGGCTGAGTCAACAGAGCACGTTCTGCTCCAGTGCCCATACTATCAGGGCATATGGGAAAAATATATCTTACCCCAAATCAGAAAATGTTGGGCCCTACAGATGTAGAAAGGGCCAAGCTCCTGCTTATAGGATCCAACCCACAGACAATGAAGCAGTGTGCCAGTTTTTTGGCAGAAGCCTGTAAAATACACAAAACCCTATTAAATCTTGAAAAGTGATTCTAAGAGTGATCAGTCAATGAATGGTCGCTGTGACGGACAGGTCAAGAACCACTCCTGTCCATCACAATGGAACCCTGACTCGGGAGCCAATGGCTGTACAGAAGAGGCAGAACTAAGGATATTTAAGAGAATGGATGACAGTTAGAGTCTCAGTTAGAGTCTGAGTTGAGAGTTAGAGAGGGCTTCAGTCAGGGATCAGTAGAGTTTCAGTCAGGACCAGTCTTGTGTTAGTGAAGAGTGATAGAGAGACAGAGAAAGAAATGAATAAGAAAAGAAATGAATAAATACTGTATCTTGATTGAAATGATTATAAATAAACAAATATAAATATTACCAAAGTACAATTTATTGAATGAATAAAATGAGACCATCCATGGTTTACTTTATATGATTTACTTATGAATACTTTAATAAATATTGTTTAATTGAATCACACTGATTGAAGACTTATATTTGATATAGTGAGGAGTGACTCCTTTGGTGGCAGTGGAAATGGTTGAAAACAAATGTCAGTCCCAAAAGTGAACCTGGGTTTTGTGGAGAAACAAACAGGGGAACTGGGTTTGTGACAATTATTGTAAATGTTCCCAACTTATTGGAGTATTTTTTTTTAAAAAATGCATACTGTATACTTTGTTTAGTTCTATTGGTCTTCGACCACAATAAACGTTTTAATTACTTACAACATAAAGCGTAAAGCAAGAAATGGATCATATAAACATTGTAGTGCTTCCTGTCAGTGAACTCTAGTGGAATGGATAGAACATTCCTTGGTAAATGGATCTTCAGAAAGGCTGGTTGCCGATAAAGGAATATTTTCACCGCATCTGAAAGCTTCCATTTGGCAATGAAAAAAATGGACCTACAAAACTGGGGGGAAATTTGGGGCCAACAACAAATCTAAATTCTTTTAAAACTTTTCCCTCTTCTCTAAATAAGAAGCACCACATTAAGAGGCAATGAAGTGCTTCAAGTCTTAAACCTTCTTCTCTCTTGAGAAGGTTTTTGTCTCAGTTCCCTGTCAGGATGAACCACCGTGGAAGACGCGAGCACTGCTAGACCAGACATAGCAGTAATAAATGGCCTCGTCTCCAGCCTCAACGTTGGTGATTCTTAGAGATCCCGAGTTCCCTGAAGCAGAGGCAGTGAAGCGGTCGGGGATCCCTGCTCCTCTGCTGCTACAGCCATCGCAATGGACAAAGCGAGGCGGTTGCCCAGGTTTCTGTTGAAGCCAGTAAACGTAACTGCCCCAGCTGCCACTGCTTTTGGAGCAGGAAAGGGTTGTTGTTTGTCCAGGAGACACCGATTGGGAGGCAGGTTGAGTCACTGTTGGCTGGGAATCGACACCTTTACGAAAGAAAAAGAGGGGAAGGTAAAATTACAGATGACACACTAAACTTGAATATCAATAATTCATTATGTTTGTGTGATCAATACACATGAGAGTTAATCACTTTTTTAGCCATTAATTTTTTGTGAAATGAACTCTTCCTTTCCTTACCTGCACAGAAGCTGAGAAGAATACAGAAAAACACAACCAAAGCCATACTGATTAATCAAAAGGATTTCTTGATTTCTGTCATAAAGGGGACACTGCCTGGCACCTTCTCTCTTCCTTTATTTAAAATCCACAGAATTGGGAAATGGCTCCTTTTATGCAAATGTACTTTGGAGTCATTGGTCGCCCAAAAATCTTCATGTCTCTTGGAGGAAGCTCTGACATCATAGCAAAAATAAATGGGACAGCCTTGATTTCCGTACAGGAAAGTGGTTTTAAAAAGAAAGCGTTATTGTCATCCTCACTGAGCATGGAGGTGGCCTTCATGGGAGGAAGAAGGCAAAGGAGGAACAAAGATCATGGCTGGGGCTTCAACTACAAAGCCTGCATTCAGGCGGTTCAATCCTTGGCATCTTAAGTTAGGAAAGGTTGCTCACAGGTGATGTGAGCCTCGTGGCACAGTGGTCAAACTGCTGTACTGCAGCCAAAACTGTGCTCATGACCTGGGGTTCAATCCCAGGTAGTGGCTCAAGGTTGACTCATCCTTCTATCCTTCCAAGGTTGGTAAAATGAGTACCCAGCTTGCTGGGGGGGGCAATGTGTAGCCTACATAATTAATTTGTAAACCGCCCAGAGAGTGCTTGAAGCGCTATGGGGCAGTATATAAGCAGCACACTTTGCTTTTGCTTTGCTTTTATCTCAAATATTTGACAGCCACTAAGAGTCAGGACGTGGTGGCGCTGTGGGCTAAATAGATATGAGGTTTTTCCTGATATTCAACTGAAATCGGACTTCCTGGAACTTGTGTCCATTATTACAAATCCTGTACTCTGGGAATGCTGAGAACAGATCCTGCCTTTTCTCTGTATGAGGGACGTGGTGGCGCTGTGGGCTAAACTGCAGAAGCCTGTGCTGCAGGGTCAGAAGACCAAGCAGTCGTAAGATCGAATCCACGCGAGCGCCTGTTGCTTGTTCCAGCTCCCACCAACCTAGCGGTTCGAAAGCATGCAAATGCAAGTAGATAAATAGGGACCACCTCGGTGGGAAGGTAACATCGTTCCGTGTCTAAGTCGCACTGGCCATGTGACCACGGAAGATTGTCTTCAGACAAAACACTGGCTCTATGGCTTGGAAACAGGGAAGAGCACCAAGTCCTAGAGTCAGACACGACTGGACAAAAAATTGTCAAGGGGAACCTTTACTAAGAGTCGGAGATGAAAATCAGGTCACATAAATAATTTACATTTGAACTTCCCCAGTATGAAGAAGAGAGCAGGAAGGACTTTCCTTATATATGTCTAGAATAGACATCATCTGTATGTGTCATTCAGAGCTGAATATATACAGCAGGGATCCACAATGTCCTGGGTTCAAGGTTCTTCAAAGGATTAACCCTCCATGATAGAGATGAGCATCCATTTGATAAAGTCCTTGAAATCCTCAAATTCTGTCTGGGTTGCAATGCACTGAAGGACCATCTCATCCCTATTCCATTCCCTTGCAGACCAACTGGGCTACGCTAGAGGGCCATCAATGCAACAGGCATCCTTCTGTTCCTTTTCCAATCAAATGATGGGGGAAAATCAGGACAGAATAAGGAAGTGGCCATTTTTCCATTCCAGGTTTCATATTTCTTGGCAGGATTGCCTCTGGGAGGTTTCCCAGAGAAGCAGGGGAGTAAGATGCTGAGCACCATCTGACTCTTTGCTCTGCTGGACTCTTTCCAGGGCAGGATGACGTCTGATAGTCCTGAGCTGCTTGTGCCTGAAGTGTCCTCCCTGGCAGGATTTGGGCTCCTTCTTATTTTGGCACTCTTATTTTGGCTCTTCCACTGGTCAGTTTCAAAGGGCTCCTCCCAACAGCCACTGTTAGGGTCTCTTCTAAAACATCAGAGAGAACTTTTGGGATACTTCACTGCTTGAGGCAGAGGTTGCCACTTCCAGAGCCCAAAAAGGCTCCAAGGCCTTCCAAGTGACACCACTGGAATCACAATTAAGCCACAAGGGCAAAATCTCTAGAGTCAATTTAAGACTTTCAGTGACTGGAACTCTGGACCAACAGCGACACCTACAGGCCAAAAGCATATTAGAGCTGTATCTTTAGAGGGGAAAAAGTGTAAGGATGAGGGGGCTATATAAGAGAGAAAGAAAATGTTGGGATTTGTGGAAGAAAGAGGGAGTGACAATGACTGACTGGGAGGGAGGCTTGGATAGAAAGAGAAGAGTACTGGTGATCCCACCCCCTGGTTGCTCATGGGGTCGTGAGAATATTTGCTATTTTTTCTTGTAAAGTACTGAGACCTGGCATTGATCTTCTTGGCTAATGTATGTTTTAGTATTTGTTCTCTAAGGAATGAATAGAATCTCGGGTTGACTGGAAATCCACTCAGAGGGAGGGCAGGAAGAGGAAGCCCTTAATCCCTCTGATATGGCTTCCATGCAAGGGTGTAAAGCCAGGGTGGCTGAAATTGGGCAGAAGGTGGTGCTGGGGGGCCCTCGCTCAATCAAAGGAAGACAACAGAAGCCAAGTGGCTAGGATGTTTTTCATGATATTCAACCGAAATCTGGCTTCCTCTAAGTTCAGTCCATTGTTGTGTGACCTGCACTCTGGGATGAGTGAGAACAGATCCTGCCCCTCCTCTGTATGACAGCCTTTCAAGTATTTGAAAAGTGTTATTACCTGGATGAAGGAATGGAGGACATGTTAATTAAACCTGAGCATCTGGGGTGGCAGCAGGAGGGATGACCTCAAGCCAATGGAGAGCTGGGCCAAAAGAGACAAAAGGACAGAAATCCTCTTGCTTCGTGCAATGAGATGCAACTAGAGGAAGCCCACGGAATCGGTGGAGATGTTCCTGAGTCACCTCCTTTGCACGTTCAATAGATTTAATAGACCTACCCTATTGCTACTCTACTGCAACTTACTGAGCTAACCAACAGAATGTCAGCCAATGAACTTCAACAGGAAGAACTATAAAAGTCTTCAAAATGATGTAAACTTCCCAGAAAGTGCTTTTGCAGAATGAGATGATCTGTAAGTCAAAACAGTAATATTTACACAGGGGAAAGAGACACAGAAATGCACAAATATCAGATGAGTGACAGATGGCTTGGCAGTACTACAGATAGTGGGCTGTTAATAGATCACAACCTTAAGATGAGGCAACAGTGTGGTGCAGGGGCAACAACATCAACCACACAAGACATGCTTGGTTGCCACAGCCATGGAGGGTTCGAATCAAAGGATAGAATTGTTGTTGTTATATTCCATCAGCTTTTGGATTCCATTTTCATTCCACATTGGAATCCTGGGATGTGTACGTTGGCCGAGGAATTGGGATTCTGCTGGAATGTATCCCAGGTGTGTTAATTTTGGAGTGAAATCTCTACATAAGAGGGAATCTGCCTTGTCCTGAACCATGGTGTCGACCCCTTTGGCTTTTCACTGTCCACAATGACTAGGAAAGGTCCTGGGTTCCTCAAACAGGGAAGAACCCTAGTTCTTGGTTGGGGCCCCAGGGACTGAATGGGGAGCCGTATTCTGACAAACTAGTGTTTTTCTCCCCTTCGGGACCAAAGTCCAGCCTCCAGTTAGCCAGATCTTGATTTTAAAATTTCCGTCTGCACAACATATAATACACACATTTTGGGGTGGAAAGCAAAATATTTTAACTATCTACGAGGGAGTTGCTCATTTTAAATTCAAATGTGGATGCAATTTATTCTGAATCATTTGGGTGTGTTTGTCACACAAATGGTCTTACAGCCATCCCTTTTCAGATACAAATGTGACCTCAAAATTGGTTGATGTGTGAGAAGCCAACAGCAACACATAAATGAGGCATTATTAGTCATGCTTCTCATATGTATTAACCTGTAAGGTGCATATTTGCACATTTGAGTGCAGAAGGACCGATTTCCACTAAAATCCCTTCCTCCTGTAGGTTTTTATTTGTTTGTTTTTCATTCATTCCTAGCCTGCCATTTGATATTCAGTCTTCCATCTAAGAGGACGGTAGGAATTTTTTTGACAATCTCTAATGCTGACTGTAGATTGTTTGATTGGAAGGAACCATTCTGCTTTTGGTGCCATTCTGCCACGCTCTTGAAAGAGAGATTTGCTGATGATTTGAAAGATGGATTTGTTGAAGATTTGTCTCAGTCACTGCATGTGTTCAAGGTTGGGAAGTGTCTCCAACCTCCGATTCAACCTTGTTATTGGGACAAGAGAACAAAACCAGGTCCTGCTGGATTAGTCTAAAGTATGTCCAGTCCAGTATTTCAGTTGCCACAGTAGTCAACCAGTTGTTACGGCAGGAAGCCCAAGGACACAATTTTAAGGTCATCCTCTTTTTACTGAAATGCAAATGGATTTCAAAGGAAAGCTGCTCCAGTTTGTGGGGGAATAAAGATTTCCATCATGACTGGAAGCCTCCATTTTGTCATGAAGGAAAGGACTTATGGAATTGGGGACCTTCCAATGACGGATGCCATCAATGCCAGGGTATTGGGACCATTTTTTTGATGAACAGAAAGTCAGAACTGCTTGAGAACATTGCCCTTTGGTCAAAAATAGAAACATCACATTAAGAAGCAATGAAGTGCTTCAAATTTTAAACTGTCTTCTTTTTCAACAGGAAGTCTGAAGGTTTTTGTTTAAGTTCCCCATCAGGCTGCACCACCGTGGAACATGCTAGCAGTGCTAGACCAGACATGGCAGTAATAAACGGCATCGTCTCCAGCCTCAACATTGGTGATGGTGAGAGATCCTGAGTTCCCTGAAGCGGAGGCAGTGAACCGGTCGGGAATCCCGGGTCCTCTGCTGCAGCCATTGCAGTGCACATACCGAGGGGTTTGGCCAGGTTTCTGTTGAAGCCAGTAAACATCGCTGTCCCAGCTGCCACTGCCTTTCAAGCAGTTAAGGGTAGTCGTTTGTCTCAGAGGCACCGATTGGGAGGCAGTTTGAGTCAGTGTTGGCTGTGAATCGACACCTTGACAAAAAACAAAGAGAGGAGGTAAAATTACACCTGATCATCTTGAGTGTGAATATCTGCAAACTGTTATACTTTTGTTAATTTCTTTCTTGACTTTTAAATTCTCATAAAGTTAGCTC